AAGGATGTCAAACAGGGGCTAAGTTACACAGCTTATTTCCCTCGTATGAATTTTTTAGCCCACAAATTTAGAGAATTTGACTTCGTTACCATGCTGCAGATTCAGATGCATTCATGAAGGGGATTATTTTTTATTATTTTTACTTATGCTGCTTTATAGCTTCAGTTTGCCTTGACCTGATGAAAGAGCCAATTATAAGCTCTTTCCTTCATTAATTAATCCAAACCAATTTTGATATTTTGCACTTCCACATTTTGAAATTTTTTAGTTGTCAGCTTGGTTATTTCAATATTTAAGCATTTTGCAGCTCGTCTCATTCTATCAAGTGCACGTGCTCTGCATGCATCTATATCTATGGCCTTTCATTCCGATACCTGCAAACTTCCGTATAAACTACTTACTGTTGCATTCTATCAAGGATTGTTTAGTTTATTCTTCTGAATCCTCGGAGTCATTTTGTTTATTATTCTCAGCTAATCAGTGGTAGAGGTGGTTACAACTTTCAATCAGTTAGAAGATGGACTACCCAAAAAAAGCTGGGATATAGCCTCTTGGAGTGTGATAAAGTCAGTTCTTATAATTATTTTCTCTTTTAAGCTTAAATTTTCTTTATATTTCTGTATTAAACAATTCCTTATCTTATTTCACATTTAGCTCATTTGATTGTTTTTTTGCCCCTCAAGATTTTTGTGCCTATCCACAAAGAAGTACATTGGTGTTTAGCAATTATAAACAAAAAGGATCAAAAGTTCCAGTATCTTGATTCGCTCAAAGGAGTTGATGCAAAAGCAATGAAAGTACTGGTATGCTTGCTATCTTATTAATTATGAAGTAAACGCATTATTACCTTTGGTTCCTTTGTTTTGCTTTTTACTTATTTTGAAGAACAAGGGAGGGGGTGGGAGGTAGCTGTACTGCAAGAACGACTAGCAAAGCCTTATTCTCAGACCTTTGGAGTCGAGTGCATGAATCTTTATTTGTCATTCCTCTCTGTTCCTTTGCTAGATCTACATCCTTAGCAACTAGAAAAGACCATGTTATTTTTAGTATATCTTTTCCTCTTCTAACTCGCTCTAAGCTATTGAGCTTGACATGAAACATGACCTACCACCAGAGTTGTCGTTCTATTAGTTTATACTCAGTTAGTGGCATCCATTTTAGTATGACTGCACATCCATATTATCATCCTAATTTCTGCTTCATTCAACTTATGGACATCTAGCCCTTTAAAAGCTAGCACCTCCAACCAGAAAGCATAGGCAATCTAATTTCTGTTCTGTAGAATGAGGGAGGTTCACATTGTGGATGCAAAAGGGCTGTTAAGAGGGTACCCAATTAATTTGACATTTCCTAAAGTGAGAACTATACTAGAGAACTCAATGATGAAATTGACTTTAAAGGAAAATAATTGGACTATAATAATGTTTTTCCATTTGAATACTGCCATAAGGTGGTCAACAATATGCCGAACAATGGGCATTACATTATCTTCCAAGGATTTTGCTTCATGTATGTGAGTGCTGGAGAACTTTGTGTATTGAAGCATCAGTGTGTTTGGTTGTGAGTTGGATTTTATTCTGTTTTGCTCCATAGTCAGACTCTTTCTTATATATAGTTCCATATGCAGGCCAAATACTTAGTTGATGAAGTGAAGGACAAGAGTGGAATGGACATCGATGTCAATTCATGGGAGCAAGAATATGTAGTCAACTTGCCTGAGCAGGAAAATGGGTAAGTGTGGAGCTTTTATAGTGAAACACTTTTTTTCTGAAATGATAAATATAGCAAAAATGAATGTTCTTCTAAAGAGGAATAAGTACGGTTTAATATTTATTTTTCCCTTTTTCTATCTCTTCCAACTAACGACATTCTTTTACACTTCTTTGTCCTCC